AAGGGCGAGCGGGGAGGCCGGGGCCGAATTTTCGGAGCCCACAGTTCTAAAGTAAAACAGAGAAACCAAATAGAAACAAAAATGGGTATAATTCTAGCTGCCTTTATTCAAGTTCAGGACAAGATATATATACACAAACAATAGGCCACAGGCCCGCCACTTATTTGACTGCCACTTATTTGGAAAAAAAAAAAAAGAAATGTTTATCATATAACATATCTAAGAGCTCTTGCGTCATGTAGAGTCTTAGATCAGTGATAATGCTGGTTAGTGTTGCCAGGTTTTGGTGGAAGGGCATCAATAGTTGTTGTTATCCCAAATGGTGAGGAGGTTTATCAAAGAAGGTTGGTGGCAGCTGATAGTGATGACTAAAAAGTACATAATCGTGAGAATAGCCAAGATCGACTGGAGTTCAATAGTAGCAATGCATTTTTGGGAAGTTATAAAGGTTGGCCTTAGGTAAGACCAACAAACTTAAAGCAAGATGGTCCGGCAACAAGATCATCAATGGTGCAGCGATCCACCATTTGTTGCCGGCTTGAGGTTGAGCAATAAACAATGAACTTTATGTACAACCTGTCTAGGTGTGATCTTGGTTCATAAAGGAAAGCTTAAGGTGATATATGGAATTTATATAATCTTTCTATGAGGGATTTTTAAGGATTCGTTTGCTTTGAGATTGGAGTTGGCTGTAAAGGAGGGGGAATAAGAGGAGTAAGAATAAAAGGAGATAGTGGAAACACTCACGAGATAAAAGAAACGATTTAAGGGCACCTTTGTACTTATCTATGAACAAAAAAATCATGCCCCTAGTCGCTATGGGATCTTTTTCTCCTATTTTCTGCACTTTTTTTTTTTGGCCTTGTTTGCAATGCATTGCACATACAAGTGCACTTTTCTTAAACAAGAGGACAATGAACAAAATTGTATAATAATGCTTCTAGCTCAATTTTTAAAGTGAGTGAAATTAAACAAGCTACCAAAATTCAATCAAGATCAAATGAAGAATGAAACGAAATGCTTAGCTTGAAGAAGACCGTAAATGCTATCACATATTGTTGACATTTCTAAGAAACGTTATGATTGCAAGTCACCCTTTATCAAAGAAGCAAAAATGGGTAATAATCAAAACATGGGGAAGGGAATTGACAATTCTTAAAGGTAGGATGACAAAACATGTCCATCAGATGGATAGAATTGCTTTTTTGGCTATTTGAGTAGAAAAACAACATCACAAATAAATACTTTCTTACCAAATTAAATAACTTAGCACCATAATCAGTGTTGCTGCTGAAATTAAATAAAAATTTAGATTAAATGAATCATTTGTATAATGGCATAATGTAAAGTATTAATCTAGTAGAATCTATAGATTTTACCCCAACATGTACATCATATTTCATTCAGGCCATAAAATTAATATATTTTCAGACAAAAAAACAATATAAAACATGAAAGATAAAAAAGCAAAGAGCATAATTTGCATATTGTGAATTTTGATTCATTTTCAAAAAAAATTATAGCTCAACAATACAACTTACATAATAAATAAGTAAAATATTGATCGTCAATTTCAACAAGCTTTGGGAGCAGTCTCAGCATAAAAAATAAAGATATTAAAGAAAATAAAATTTGGCAAAAGACTCACCCCACAACCGGTATCAATGGCAGTTCGGATTGTCCCATCCTTCATTTCAGGAATCAAATTTTCCATTAAGTCAACATACTTGCTAACCCCATTAGGAAACATAGTACCTCCACCAGGGAAGAGAAACTTCTCACCATCTTTTCTTAGCCAGTGTTGATTTGATTTTTGATTGTTTATCCAATCATATGGCACGTTTCTGAACCATGTACATTCGATGAAAATATTTTTCAGATGCCTGTCTATTAAATTTGAGAAAATAGAAATATGACCTTTGAAAGCCTAATATGTCTGCAAGGTAGATGACTAAATTAAAAACATTAAAAGGCCTACCTATACCAACATTCATTTTTGCTCTGTGGCCATCTGATTGGAACTTTATATCCCGCGGGTGGGGGCACTAGGCACTCTTTCCTTTCGCTTATTGGTGGGCAATGGCGTTCCATGAAGTTGAGTCTATAATTACCATACCTCCGCCATCTCTATGCAAAATGAAGATAATTATTTAGCATCAACTGGGGATTCGATTATTTATCAAAAAATTGAATTAGTGAATGTCTTAGCAAAATGGTTTACTGTTCATAAAGAAGATGAAGCACACATGTGCATCCATAGGCACAACGTTATTATAAGTTATTTCATAGGTTTAGGAAAGTTCAACTTTTCAAATTTACTATCACAAACTATGACAATAGGAAAGATTAAGGATGAGATCAGTGAGATACTGATGTGAAGCTGTTTGGGATTTAGCATGTTAATTGGAGAGTCCCTATTTAAGCCATTCTCGATCTTAATCAGAAAAGAGGCATTATAAACAAATCTAGTTTTACAATTTCACCAATCTTTCAAAATTTTCAATCATCTTTAGGGAACATTGAATTGACATAAGCCCTTTTAATGAATCCCGAATACTTTCTAAGGGCTTCCCGTTAACTAATCTTACTTTAATCTCTAGAAAAAGGAAGACATGCGTACATATTTTGAATTACCTTTGGGTCCGTGCATGGCGTGTAATCCTGATAGTCAATTCCACAATCTGGGAAAGTAATAGGCTCAATTTGAACGTGAACAAGTGCATTATCTTTATGATTCACTGTTGCTGGTATTGAATCACTATAGAGGAAGCCATTTTTCTCAGAAGAAAAGATGCCTCCAAGATAGAATGAAAATCCACATAACACTACAAACATTAAACACATAGGACCTGCCCTGGAAATTTTATCAGGGTTACTTCCAGGCTTTCCATCTTTACTTTTCATCTTATACGCCGCAATGGCCTACAATACAAGAAACAATGAAAATAAAATAAAGTTGAAAATATACAAAATTAAAGAAGTGAACCTCTCTAAAATTGCAAACAATATTGGGATTGACAGAAATGAGTTCAAGATATTGCTAAAAGAAGAAATATTTAAGACGTGCATATTAAAATGCATACTCCCTGTAACTTAGAGCAAGTGATAGAGCTAGCCACCACAACATGTGAATGTTACATAAGAAAAAACGGACGAAGCTCTAGAATTTTCTTTTTTTCATGGAGGTTTCAAAACTAAGAACTCCTACTGCAGATAAAGGGCAGTGACTAACTGAACTAATGTCAGTAGTCAAAAGCTAGCAAAAATCTTTTGAACGGTGCAATTGGATTTTAAAAGAAAATCAAGGATCTTCTGAAAAAAGCATGCATTGCAGTAAACACGAGTTGTCATGCTCAACTATGAAACTGTTAAACAGTACATAAAAAAGAGTTGAAATTAGGAAAGGGTGCTCAAGAACAAACTTACAGTCGACAGGAGCACGGAATAGTTTCCCAAAAAAGGGAGAATGAAAAGGGAAAAGATAAAGCTTAAGAGAATAAGCCAAAAGCAAGAAGTAGTTTGCATCATTCATTAAAATTGGGTAAATAAATTTAATTGTGCAATTAGGAAAGTTGGAACTAATCAGAAAATAGAAATTACTGAACTATCGGCTAAACCATAAGGCCATCACATTCAATAAATCTACTTAAAGATCAACAAAATGAGATTAAGAAAACTGGCATTTTACTACGTTAGCGTTGCATTTACGGACCAAAGTTGGTTAATCAACCGATAATATCGCTGATATGAGGCAGAAAAGGGCAGGCGCAGGCTGTTAACACATAAGTATCCATAATCATTTATACTAAGAGGGTTAATATCATGGGGCATGGGAATGAACAAATGCTTAAGTTAGAACAACATTCAACAAATATTCATACAGATGTCAATTGGATACTAGTAAAAGAATGGAGTTTTATCAAGCTATTTTTGTTTATAATCGGTATAACTTTCAAGATCTGGATCTAAACGCTGGATTCAGTAGAATTTTAGGCTTACAAAAGAGATATAAATTGAATGAATACATAAGCCTAAAGACAATTCAACGAATCTTTAGCTTCATCATCAGCGTAATGAAAAGAAATATAAGGATAAAAACTACTATTGATCGATGGGTAAAAGCAATACCTATACCATCATCTATCCAAATCTAGACCGAACAAGTGAACAAACGTTAAACAAAACAATATTTCCCAAGACCAATAAAACCAAAAGTACAACCAAATGAACAACGACAAGTAGATATTTAATAATCCGAGCTGGAGTTTTAATAGCATCACCATTGGATTATGGATCTGTCTCCAATAATCAACACCAGTAGTAAACTATAAAGCAAGACTAACACATCACAGAATAAAGAATTTGCTAGAAGAATCTCAATACTAAATCTAAAAAAAAAAATCATAATTGTTAGAAAATATAAAAAACGATAGAAATTAACAGCTTTTAACATCAAACGATAGAATTTACTAGTAAAAATGTGCCAATTTCGCTAACAACCCTCTCATTCCTAATATGCACTACAACTACATAAACTAGATTCCCAAACTTAGGACAACTTTCTTTCTATATTTTAAAGCAACTTTTTTTATTACGAAAATTTTATGTTTAAAAAATTTTATATAAAAAATTGCTTTTCAAAAAATAAGAAAACTGCCATAAATGAAGCCTTAATTATTATGTCGCAAAGAGTAGCTTTCCACCAACAAAATTAACCAAAAAAAAAAACAGTTAGAAAATTACAAGAAAGCAATAACAAAAAAAATAAAGAAAAACACATTTTCCGTCAGAATACCGCTTAAAGAAAAGAATTGCAACTAAAGTAACAACACAGCTCACATGCGTAAATCCAAACGCACCAAACCAAACACCATAATTAGCTATAATTGACCACATCGAGATGAGATCTATTCAACATAATCTACAAACTAAACTTTCCAATTCAAACAATGGCAAGATGTCATCAAAAAGCCAAAAAGAAGCGCGAAACTGAAGAATCGGATGGATCTCCTGCTCCGTCCCTGACGAAAGCACAAACAGGAAATGCTCCGAGTAAAAAACATAATCCTAACTCTGACACAGATCCATTATACAATTCTACGTCAGAACCCAAGAATCGGATGGATCTCCTGCTCCGTCCCTGACGAAAGCACAAACAGGAAATGCTCCGAGTAAAAAACATAATCCTAACTCTGACACAGATCCATTATACAATTCTACGTCAGAACCCAGCAAAAAGCGTCATCAATCATGAAACCAGAAGAATAAACAGTACAATTAGTGCAGAGCAGAAAGTACCTATCAGGGTCTCCCCTTCTCCACCAACAAATCTGACTCGTAAGAATGGAGACCCTCGGAGAAGAATGGTCGATCTCAGGACAGCAAATTAAAATCCCTGCCAGGCATTTATAGTTCTCCTCGTCGGCAAGCTTACTCTCTGGTCTCTCACCGCACCGTTGAAACTGGACAAAAGAATAAGAACAATCATTGAAGGGCATAACTGGAATTTGAAAGTTTTTTTTTTTTTTTTGGGCTGGGGGTGGTGCTGTTGGAAATTAAAGGCATAGTCAAAGTGGTGAAAATCTGGTAAGGACATTAAAATTGAACAATGAATCCCATGAAGTAACAAATATTAAAATTATTTAAATAAAAAATAATCTTATAATAATCATACAATAATATAAATTTGTAACTAAAAATAAGCATACATAAATAATAATTTCTCTAATTTAAAAAGTAAACACAATTAATTTTAAATTTGATTCATATTTAATATAAATTTAATTCAAATATAAATTTATCAATTTAATATAGATTA